TTTTTTTTTTTTTTTTTCCTTTATGTTAATTATCTGAAGAATGATTTTTGAATCATGATGCACTTTCAACATCCTTATTTTTCTCTGTACATTTTATTAAGCAAACTATTAGTCGTGTCCCACTTGTTGAGAGTGAATAAGAACTAATTGCAGATGCTTGAAGCAGTTTTCTGTTGATATTTCTGTAAATTAATCACAGAATTCAATTGTTTGAAAATGAACTGTTGCTTATAATGCACCAGCAAACCTGACTACTGTCAGAAAATTTATACCTGATCTGTGATGGACTTCAAAATTTCCTTGGCCACTTTGTATTTGGATGATTTCTCTGCATTGTATAAAGCAGTTTCTTGAGCATTTTTCCGCATTTTCTGAACTTCAATGTTTTGTGTGTCACATTTCTGCCTCAAACTTCTAATCTGTAGTAGATGAAAAGGAAAAGGTTGATATTTGCAAAGCAAAAGCTGAATTGAAGAAACCATTAATGATGAAATCACAAGAGGATATGATTGGTACTTGATTTTGCAATTTTGAGACTTCTTGATTCAAAAGCTCATTTGACTTCCTCAGGCTTTCAATAACAGTCCTAGAAAATGCTGGAGTAGCAGTTCGTGAGGGACTTGGTCTCCTGTATGGTGAAGTAGATCTTGAGTTAATAGGAGACTGAGGTGCTGGGGGTGCTGGTGGTGTATTAACAGGCCGAAAGGCATTTTGAAGGGCACTCAGTGAAGTTGGAAATGCAATATCTTTAAGCTGTAAAACCGATGGAACTTGTGAAGCTCGGATTAAAGAAGGGGAATCAAGCCTGGACCCAGGTTTTCCTGCCTTGACCTCTAGGTATTTGACTGGTTCCATAGTGGGAGACAGCAAAAGCCTTGAAGACCTTATCTCTCCCCTGTCCATTCTGTCCCTAGCATCTACTGAGGGTCGAGTGGAAGTCATTTTCTTGTTCATATTAGAAGCATTGCCAGCTTCAGCAGCTTTAAGTTTTGCATAGCAAGCATCACATACACGCTGCGGTTTGCCTGGGGTTGGAGCCAATGCTGCTTTCAATGCTTTCTTAGAACTGCAAGCATGACAATGCACTAGACCACAATTGTAACAGTTGTGCCTCTTCCTAGTAAAACCAAAGGCCTGCCGGCAGCCAGAGCAAACTGACTGATCAGCACCAGAGACCCACTTGTGGATGCATATACTGGAAGTGAAATTTGAACCACATGATATATTTTTGACATGCCTGTCCTTGAGGGCTTCAACCAGTGTTGGAGTTCTCCGATCTTCAGTGTCACCATGCCCCAGTCTCCCATTGGCACCTCTACCCCAAGTGAATACTTCACTTCTTGAAGTCAGGACAGCAACATGGTATGCACCACAAGAAATTTCTTCAACAAATTCACCGACCAGTCTATCTTGTACCAAACACGGTAACTTTCCGTCAGAGTTTGGATTGCCAAGCTGACCATATGTAATGGCACCCATGGTGAAGACATGGCCTGATGTGGTAAGAGCAACAGTCATGGTATGCCCACATGCTAGCTGGTGGAAATTGTAATCAATAAGTGAAGAGACACAGGTTGGAAGTAAATAAGTGTCCTTGCTTCCATGACCCAAACGGTGCTTATCACCATCACCCCAGGTAAACAACTTCCTTGATGAAATATTTGCACCAGCCTGGCCTATAACCTCAACAATAGCTGCAGTATGCCATACTCCACATGCAACTTTCATCGTCCTTAGTCCACTTAAGAGTTGAACTTCTTTTGGATATGCAATACTTTCTCGATCCCCATGGCCTAGAACCCCAAATGTTCCATCCCCGAAGGTAAACAGCTTTCCATTAGAAGTTACCAACGCTGAATGCCACGTGCCACATGCAACAGATAAAACTTGGAGTCCTTCTAATGGACCAGAAACTCTTTTTGGTACCCAGTGACTAACATCAGTACCATGACCAAGGATGCCAACATTATGGACACCATCACCCCATGTAAATACATCACCAGCTGTGGATACAGCACATGTATGATACTCACCACATGCCACAGAATCCACACTAGTAACTGCAAGGAACTCAACAAGATGGGGGCGACTAAAGTCTTTTTCAGTTCCATGACCAAGTCTTCCCCCAGATTCCTCCCCCCAGGTGAAAACCTCACCCTGCCTTGTTACAAGAGCAATATGTTTAAAACCACAAGCAATTTGATGAACATCAAGGACTACATTCGATTCTAAGGGCTTGGGAGTCAACACATCAACCTTTGTAGGGAGTGAACACCCAGACCCATCAGGTGTAACTCCATCAGACCATACCTCTCCCCACAAGTAAACATCACCTAATGATTCTATGTCATCTGGACCAGATCCAGCACTTGAACAGCTAGGAGTGCTTGAAACACTAATTCTGAAACCATCTCCACCACTTGTCCTCAGCTGCATGTTTGCATGTTCAAACCCCACATTGGAGCTTGCCAAATCAATAGACAATCTACCAAGGGTAATACTGTTGCTAAACTCTAAGGTTGGACCACAACGACTATTTTGAATGAAATCACTATCTTGGAGCTGAAAAGGGCATGCAAACACTAAATTAGACTTTCAATAGTTCTGCTGCAAAACACCCTCCACACTGAACAAGAAATTAAGAAAAAGAGAAGTGCTAAATAAAGCACACTGGGGAATGAATTAATACTACAGATATGCATTGATATAAGAACTCACAGTAAAATCACTCTTGGTTCGTCTATTACGATTTTTTCCAATCAATGCATTAAGGCCGGCAAACCAGACCTCTGTCTCAACTTTGTCCTTGCAGATCTACAGAGAGATGATCAATTATAATCACTGAATTCAAAGTTATCACTGAGCCAAACATAAAATGACTAAACAGAAATTTAAGATTAACTGATTACTGGCACCAACCAGATCAAGAGATCTGTCACCGTTGTTATATAAAAGTGAAAATGATAAGTACTCCTTTTCCGGGCGCAAATATCTTCTAAAAACAGGCTGTAAAAATTGCCAGACAACAATCATTTCCTATTGCTTTGAAAATGGAAGTCTTTAAGTATGATGAAGAAAAGCTGAGCCTAATAAAACTACAAGATCCATCGCTATCACACTTAAATAATAACAACAATAAATAATTGAACTTACAGTTCTCTGTCCTGAAAGAATACGTGTAACAGAAGTTAAATTTAGAGTCTTCTCTTCTCCATGTGAGTACCAAATCAATGTTTTTTCATCCTGTTAACACCATAAAAATTGAAATCATTTATACATTTAAGGTTACTAAGATGCATGACAATTAATGAGAAGAAACTATAGTGGATCAGTTGTAAGCATGATACTTCTCTCAAATTGAATGTCGGTCCACAAACACATATGATACATATTCTTAAGTATGAACCTGCATATTAATGAGTGTATTTATTTATCACTCTTTGCTTGTGTGGATATATACATATATTATGCAAAAATAGACAAAAGAAGAGAGAGTTACAAGCATGCAAATGGAGTACAAAAAGAAGCTCAACTTTAACTGCTACCATATGATTACATTTAGAAAGAACCAAAATTCCATAAAGACTTAACATGAAAGGGCTGGCTGTGTCAAAAATATAATAGAAGTACGGGGGATAAAATGAGCTAATAAAACAAAAAGATGTTCTATAGAACCTAAGGTCATCTATATTTCTGCACTACCAATCACAGAGTCCTATCAGGTCACTACCTAAAAGGATAATAGAGGAAAAGTTTAGTCTTGAAATTCAATTTCTTACAAAATTAATGAAACTACATATTAAAGAACACAATGGGATGCAAATATTTTGTCTACCACACTCTCCTCTAGCTAGCTTATCGTGGCAGGGAAATGTATGAAAAATCTTTTCTCCCTTATTGGAAAGTAGTTAAATCTAGCAGAATCTATTCATTTCCCCTTCAGGCAAGCATTGATGTTTGAAGCACAATGCAATCTGAAGAAAATATTATTATGTGGCAAAGTGGATAACTTGATGATCATGATCCTAGGAGGAAAATGCATTTTAGAGTGAGTCTTCACGTTGTTGCACAAATCACAAAACGGCCAATAGTTTGTTTTTTATTTTTATTTTTTTGGGCAAAAATGAGAAATATCTGAAAAACCATGGTATCAAATATATTGAATATAAAGCTTTTTAGAAAGTAACTCACCGGAGAGAGTCTGAATGCACGAAACTTTGGTTTCCCTTTCCGGCTATACTTGATAAGCTGAGACCCTTTTTTCAAAGCTACAAGTGCCTTCAAGGGGATAAATTGAAAAACAGAAAACAAATAAAAGAAATTATAACAATTAAAAAAAAAAAAAAAAGAACAAAAGCACTGATAGTGGAATAAAAAATAATAAGGGAACAAAAAAATCTAGAAAAAGGAACCAACTTGTTCGATGTCGCGTTCAGAATTGCCATAACCAACAGGATCTGCCATTCCATCTGAAAAGATTATAAGAAAACCGCCGAGAAAGAAGCTGCTCAAGCATCAGGTGGGGTAGCAGCGACTCCTGTGCCCTTGTCTTCATAGATGCATATGATTTTTTTTGCTTTGGTCTCTCATCAAAGACAAAAACGCTTCCGACCCAATTCACCAATTCAGGAACCCACTTCGCATTTATCTCCAAGAATCGAAATTTTCAAAACCCCTTTATCCTTTTCGATCGGATAAAGACTACCCAGATGGCAAAATGAACAGAAGATGAACACCCAGATTGTTGGTTTGGTGATTTGTTTGCAGAAAAGGAGAGGGAGAGAGAGAGGAGGCGAAATGAGAGGGGACTAAGCCGTGCGATGTTGTGAGGACAAAAGAAGAAATTGGAGCGAGACATTGGCGCGCTGCAGCTGCTCTTCCTGCTTCCACGTTCGCACACTCCATTCTACTTGTTTTCAAAAATTCCTCCTTTCTTTCTTCTCTCCCTCGGTGATGTACCTGATTTCCCGGATGATCCATAAGTTTTTGTGATTAGTATAATTTGATCTCTAACCTCTTACATTGCTGCAAGTAAGACCCAAATCCTTTCAAATTTAATGTGCACATAACATGTTTGTTTTATTTCCTCTGTGAATCCCCTGCTTCAAATTTTTAAAATTCCTGATTTCAAATTCATTGAAATAATCTAAAATTAAATTATAAATCAGAAAAAAAAGTCTTAAAATAAATTGAAATCTTACTTTAAAGTATACCATTTTATTTAATTAAAATTTAAAAAATTATTTTATTAAATGTTACTAT